TTTTTTTTTTTGGGTCTTTTTCCTCCGCGGGGGGGGGGGGGGGATTGTACTGAATCAAACACTTGACTTTTTTTTTAATTTGGTATTTGTGGTTCTTGTGACTCATTCTTATGTTCTGTTTCACCACACAGACTTGGAAGCAGAGATTTGGTTAGGCGCAGGGGCTTATAAAATTTCTTGAAGGGAATTTTTCCTTGTTATAGAAATTAGCATTTTGGAATCCTTCAAAAGATTTCTACTTGGCATTGTTGAGGAAAAGTTACTTAAATTGCAGTTCATACCCTCACTTCAATCTTATGTATAAAATTTCATGTAATGTTATAGATGGGGTATTAATGCAGCATGAGACTGAGATGTCAGTAGTGGGCCTCAACAGTCGGAAATTATCCTTCTGGTAGCTATCTCCAGGGAGGAGGAAGTTGCCAAATATCAGATTACAGTTAGTGCAATGCAACAATTAAGGGAACTTGGATATATTGTTCAAACTGTAGCATAGCTGGTACTCCTTCTCTTTGGAACAAGAAAGAAAAAATAGGTCTAAAATTAGTACTGATTTAGAAATGGAAAATTCCTTGGGAAGTTGAATTTCTTTCTATTCCAGAACTTCTTCATGAGCCCTGCATAAGTGAGATTCTCTACAGCAGGAAAAAACCATGACTGCTTGCATGGCTCATGGGTTTGAGTCTTGACCCAACTTGCAGGATGTTGCTATGTTCCCATTACAATTGGTAGACACATGCTTTACCAGGAAGTCCTGAAGAAGGATATGGGTGACCTGTGTTTGAAGCAGAACTAGAATATTAGTACTGGGAAGAGTGGCCATGCAAATGTGGTCTTTTTGTAAGAGTCTGTTTGTGCACATACAAATGGCTGGCTCCCTGTCCCAGGTGGCATACACAGAAGTTAACCTATTTTAGTGTCAATTTTATAAACTTCAAATAAGTGTATACCAGGATGGTGTAGTGCTCAAGTCCTTTCCCTTCCTAGAGCCAGAGTTTGCTCTTACTTAGATTAAATGTTGTCTTTATGAAGATCAGTCTTAACAGATACCTTCACTAAATGGTTGTACTAGTTTTGATGAAACTTAACTAGTGTCTTTTTGCTCTTTTTTTTCTTTTAGAAGGTCGCTACATTCCTCCTCACTTGCGGAACAGAGAAGCTTCAAAACAGGGTATGTTTCATTAATTTGGTAACTTTTAGTTAACATGCAGCGGTTCTCAGTTACAGAGTAACATCTGTCATTCTGAAATATCTTGAATGAATACAAGACGTTTGTTTCTGGTTCACAGGACTTTAAATGGTGTGAGTTCTATAACTTTTCTTCTGCTTCCATTGGCTGCAGTGCATCGCACACTTAAACTCTAAACTTGACCTTGGTGTTTTGGCTTACCAGTGTAGCTTAAACAAGGCAAGAGTCTTAACAGTACTGACTGTAATATCTTGTTTTCATATGACTTCAGCTTCTGAGTTGTATGCCACTGAACAGTTGATTATTTTTGAAGCAAGATGGGCTCTTAAAACAATGTTTCATTCTGATAATAATTGATGCTATTGATTCTCACTACTGAGAGGGTTAGGAGTGTATTTTCTTAAACATCCTAGGATTTGGCTTGCAAGAGGTACTTCAGTTTCACTGCTACAGTTACTAAGCTTCTGAACCAGAAGTGTGCAGGTTGGCTCTGTATGGCAGAGGGAAGGAAGGTGGTAGAAATAACTTGCTGGATAAAGTAATGAACAGAAGAAGCAAAGAACAACTGAAGTGTCTTTATACAGATCCTTACACTAGAAAATGCTCTGCAGAAGAACTTTAAAAGGTTTTGAATAGGCAGGTTTGATTGTTCATTTTATTTTGGGAGTAGTGTTGAGCTTCCTGCATTCATAGAAGAACATGTAGTATTTAAGTTTCTCTCATAAGGATGTGTAAGGGGCTGCTGCTTAGTATTTTTTAGTCTGTTCTGTAGATGGTTGACTAGGAGTGGAAGTGATGTCTGTCAGTGTAAGACACGGATGAATCCCTCCTGTTTGCATTTCCATCTGTTCCCTTCCAGTGACACTGGAAGAGGTAAGGCCTTCAAATCGGTCCCTGCTTCAGTGGTTGCTTTGCATGATGACACATTGCATAAGCGGAGAAAATGATGACTTTAACAGATAGGACAATCCAGTCTTCAGAACTGGACAGCTGCAACTGCAGTATCATAAATAGGTATTATTGAAATACCCATCAGCTGTATAATTTACTTCATTAGCTAGTGAGCTTGGAAAGAGGTCTGACTAATGTGAGACTGGCACAGTGAGCATTTGTCCAACAGAAGTAAGCTGAAGTTGCAGAAAAGACTAATGTGTATTAAGTAACTCAGCATACTTAAATTTTAAGTTACAAGATCCTCACTTAAACAGGACAGCATTTTTTAAGCCGGTCAGAAGTCAAGTATGACTGTTTAGTGACCCACTTAACTTGGCAACCAAACTTTAGGGAACATGGTAAATTCTCTTATTTTCCCCCCTTACATTTGTGTATTGATTTTACTTGAATGTGTTTGATTAGAAATGTATTCCAAACAATTGGGACACTGGCTGTCAAATCATTTTTTGGTGATGGTTGAAATGGATGCTATTTTGACCCTTTATCCTAATTGGTTCCAGAAGTGCTAGGTTTGAAGTGCAGCCAGAACCAGCACACTTTTCAAGTCCTTGAAAACTTATGATTAAAACTCTCATAAGAAGCAAATGCATTCCATTCTTCCGTAGCACTTTCTTAACATGTATTTTAAAAAGGACCTTTTTCTCTTGTGACCATGGCCTAAAGCCATATTTTATGCAGGCTAACTTATTTTAGCCTTGAATGTGCTAGGAAATAGTGTCTTGCAGCTGTGTCCCCGGGGAGAGAAGGGTTTTAATCTCCTCAAATATAAATGTGAGGAGTCTTGCATGTAGTTAACGAGAGGGCAGGCCAGGTCCAGGAAGACAGATCTAACATTTACTGACTTTTTTCTCACATACAGGAAGCTGGAGCCCAGGGGCCTCTGGCTTCTGTTCATCTGCTGCTGACACTTCACCTTCCATGCAAGGTAACTTGTACTGAATGCCACTGTCACTGCTTGTGGCAGTTGGATACCATGACTTGTGGGCTCAAGGAAAAACCTACAACTGACAGGGTACAAGCATGCCACTGTTCCACTTTATGGAAGGCTGAAGCGCAGCAGTTGACTTCACACTTCTTAAGAGTCATACAGTTTTCATGTCTGCCTTGGAAGGCAGACAGCTGTTGCTTGGAAAAGATGCATGTTGTACTTAAGATGCGAGGGGATAGGATTGGATAGAAAACTGGTTTCCAATATGGGCACATGAAGCATTTTTGAAGAGACCATCTTACTTCAAAGACAGTAAACAGTTGGATTAACCGAAGGTAATTTGAGCAGAGGAGTTGGCTAATTCTGAACTGGAAGTGAATCAAAGCATGGTAGCCCAAGATTTCTCTAAAATGAGAAGCATGGGAAACACTTTTTGGGACTGACTTCACAAAGTGTTTAATTTGAAATCCAATTTATTACTTGATTGCTTGTAGCTGTGATGGTCCAGGGAGATGAGATTCCTGATGAGAGAGAATTTTAGTTTATTTCTTTTTGACAGGTGTCAGCCAAGCTTCTTGAGGTATCAAGCACCCTTAATTAGGTTGGGGAAAGCAGCATAGTTCCAAGGCAAATACAAATGAGGATGCTTGTTTTTAACTTTAATCTAATTGGGTTAATTTATTTGACCATTCATTAACCTAGCTGGATTAAACCTAAAGCAGTTCTCCTAACTTGCACCTGCCTTGGAACTATGACTGATTAACAGGTGTTTGTCTGAAAGGAAAGAGCTTGTCTTGACACCCCTTCAAGCTAGACAAAGCATTCTCTCGTTACTTAATATTGCTTGTCTCCTGATAAGGATGGGAAGCCAAAAGACCTTAACCAATGGCATTTCTTTCCTTTGTAGAAATTGGTTTTCATACTTTGGATATAGGTGGACCAGACACTTAAACATAACCTTCCTTACTTCAAACACTTCAGTCACTAAGTTAAACTATGCTTGCTGCTGAAAGAAGCTGTAGCCTATTCCTAGCATCATCTTTGTTAAGGCTTTTTTCTTTAAACCTTTTGGCTTTGGCTCCTGGTATGTCACTGGAGTGTTTATGGCTCTACAACAGGGAATACTTCTAGCTACATGAAAACTCTTTCCAATTCAGTATAGTGACTTTTAAACAGTTTTATAGTTTGATGTATAATCTACATCAATGCTGTCACTAACAGTGTCTAGATATGCTTTGTTTACACTTTAACTTCCTGGCTGGCTTCATTGGCACTGTTCTGGAGAGTGTACTGCCTATTGTGTGGCTTAAGATTCCATTATTAAGGATAATCTAAGAGTGGAATTTCACATGTAATAGTTTTTGAGAGTCATGTGTTAATAGCTTGTTGGTACCCAAGTGTGCCTCAGTCTTTCTGACAAGAGCACAGTTCATGGTCTGGTGCTGCTGCTTGGTGTTAAAGGTAAGACTCCTAAATCATTTGTGTGAATGAATTGGTTTTTTTTTTTTTGGTTTTTTTTTCCAGAACATTAGGGCTGCTTTGTTCAAAAATCATACTATGTGGATTTTCTCTGTATAGTAGTTCTTTTATTAAGGAAAATGTCAGCTAAGCAACTAATCTGTAGCGTTTAGGGTTTTATTAAGAGCAGTTCTTAAACTAAAGAAACTCAAGCTTTTGTCATGTATATTATATAATTACTGTCAGCAGTGGCTTCCTGTAGCGTTGGCTGGTGGGAGGCGAAGTGGTCCAGTTTCTGGGTTTTGTATAGCTGACTAAACTTGGTATTCCATGAGCTGTGCTACATAACTATGAGAATAGTTTGGATTAGTTTAGAAGAAGTAAAGCGTTTATATGAAATTTAAGCTGAATTTTAAGGACTGCTATATGAGTCTTTTACATATCTAGCTATAAACTTTCATAGTGAGGGGCAGAGTGCTTAAGGAAGAACCTAGTCCTTGGCTGTCTTTGCTTAAATACTGCACAGTAGCTACTAGAGATGAGGGGGGAAAAATGTGTTATATATAGTAGTCATTTAGTTTAACTTGTCCCATGTTTATACTAATCTATTTCTTCTAAAAGTATGAAGGCAATTGATCTGGTGCTTTAGGTCAATATATACCAGGTTACTTGATCATTCAAGCTTTTTGCTTTCTACTTTGTAGACTTCAGTGTGCCTAATATTAAAAACTAATACAATGTGGTACTCTACAGAGCATTCCTGAAGCTTTTCTGCTTTTAATTGTTTGACATTTAAAGGATGAAAGTAGCCAAATTATTGGGCCAGAAACTAATGGTCTTTAGGCAAATCCTTTGTTTAATGTTAAAACAAAGTGGTTGACAGTATGCATATCAGTACTAAGTGTAAAAAAGGAAGATCATAACTAGCTGGATGTCAAAATCTTGACCTGCAAAAATGTTTGGTCGGGTAACTCTTCATGTAGAAACTTTTTTCCCTTTGAAATAAAATTTAAAAATTGTAATTCTTTTGCATTAAGGTTTGAACTGCACTAAGATACTGCAGCATGACTTTTCAGGTTTAAATGTCAATGCAATCACACTTCCATGAATTGTACTTGATCAAGTACAGGCAGGTGTATGTAGCCATAACTTGGCTGTGTGCATGAGTATGGGTGATACTAGATTTAAAAGAAGATGATGATGATGAGGGGAAAAAAAATTCCTCTGTCTTTTTCCCTGCTTAATCTAATTCTTTTTTCATCGTAGCATGGCTTATACTGCCCTGGTTGCTGCTAGTTATAAAAGTTCAACTGCTGCTGTTCCTTTACACCAATCCACCAGTAGCTCCTTCTGGTTAAGAATTCAGACTGAAGATTTGTAATATAAATGCTATAACCTACTTATAGGCAGTCTTTGGATGTTTGTTGAGAGTGCTTGCATACTTAGTGTGGCTTTGTTTAGGCCAAGCGTGATGCAGTGGCTTTAACTTTGCTGCTACTTGTGCAGTTGCTTTAAAACAGGCTGACTGTTTTTGGGTAGCGTGTCAAAAACACCCACACCCTCAACTTGTAAGATGTTGGGGGCAGGCAGTGGGGGGAGCTGCAAGGGGCCTGATGCTTGTTGTAGCAGCACAGCCCCAGCCCCTTACTTGCTGTCTGTGCCCTGAGGCACATGTGCCAAGAAAAATGCCTTTCCATGCCATAGTCTGGCACCTGTGCTGAGGGATGCCTACCCCTGCTTTTGAACTTAAACCTGGCTTATTTGTCTGATTCATCAGTGGCTCCCTGTATGGTATCTATCATGTCAATCTTCACACTTCATTGATTCTTTCTGCTTCAGGAAAGGGAATCTTAACAGCATACTAACTAATGCCATCCCAGTTTTGCAATAGTTACCTTTTTTTGGATGCAGGCTTTAATAACTTCTATTCTTTATTTAAAAAAAACAAACAAAAAACAATCTTTATTCTAAATTCTTTGCTGGTACTACCTTGCTATTATAGGTTGGCTATCACCTGGGGCTCAGGCCTAGGCAGAGGATAACATAGTCCAAGGTTTTTATTTTCTTCTCACTTGAAGACCAAAGTCCAGTCCTTCCTGACTCTCTTTTTTTTAAAAAAAATAAGTCTATTTAGCTTGGCTTGCTTTTTTTAATTCACGTTATCTTTTTTGCTCCCCCTCCCCTGG